CCCCAAAACCCCAAAACCCCAAAACCCCAAAACCCCTTTCATTCTTAAGCGATTGAATAAATTAGTTTTAGAAGTATTTTACAGGCACAATTCCTTCTTCGTTGTCATCACTGTCATCATCACTCCCTGCATCTGCTTCTAAAGGAGATTTATCATGAGATGTTCTTTCTAATGAGTTTGCGTTTGCTGGCTTCGAGGAATAATCAACTGGCTTAGAGGAGGAATCTGTTGGTTTTGGCCCTGGCTTCGTTGTATGCATGAAAGACATCTGACTATTTGGCTCCTTATGGACACTATAACTTGAGTGAAGGCTATTTGCTCCAGACATTCCTGAGAAATTCACTGAATGCAGAGAAGAGCCAGGAGGTTCCATATTAGGAGCTCTGTTCTCAGAATATCTTGATCAAGGGGATTTTTGGTAATTCGAAGTTGGAGTAAACTGAGTGTTTCTGAACGAAGGTCTTCCAATTTCAGATCCAACTGGAGGTCTTTCGCTTGAGTTGCCAGCTTTGCTTAGGAAAGAAGATTGGAAAGCAGGAGGTCTATTCAATCCAGTTGTTGGAATTCTAGACGGATCAAACCTTGAAGGAGAGGTAGTCACAGGATTTATTGAGGGTTGGAATTTTGATACATTATTCATTGCAAGTCCAGATTTCTCATTAAGTTTTGTCTGATCTGTCAACTTTCTATTCAAGTACTGATTAGTACTCCTCAGCTCTTCAGCCTCCTTGGCAATTTCTCTAAGCTCCTTCAACTCCTTTTCAGCTTTATCAGCATATTCTTGAGAACTTTGCTCAAGGCGATTGAATTTCTTCTGAATGTCTGAATTCTTTTCTTTCAAAACCTTATTTTTCTCTTGAGTTTTTTCAATGTATTTATTGCCTTTAGTGATTTGGTCGCAAGCTGTATTGAGCTTGTACTCCATTTTCTTCGTCTTCTTGTCAAGACCTTGCACTTGTTCCTTCAGTTGGTCAATTTGGTTACTCTGTGTCTTGATGATAGTATCCTTATCAGCAACAGATTGGGACTTGTCCAAGATTTCTTTATTCAAATGCTCATTTTTGACCTGGAGTTCTGTGAGATCTCTGCTGTTGTTTATTTTTAACTCTCTAAGTTCCTTGTTCTCCTCTATTAGCTTCTCGATATTGTTCTTGTTCGAGGAACAGTCACGTTCCAGGTTCTGGATAGTATTCGCCATAGCTTTGTTCTGTCCTTCAATTTCAATTTTGTTTTTGAGGAGTTCATCTCTTTCCTTAGTGACTGCTTCATGATTTACCTTGATCCGTTCTAACTCGGTTGTTCTGGCATTGAGTTGTTGCTCAAGGTCTTCCTTTGTTTTGGAAAGATCTTCAACTCTAAGCTTTGCAGATTTTCCTTCTGCTTCAGACTGAGAAAACTCACCATCTAGAGAGATTAAGAGCCAATACTTACGTTTATCCTCAATTTGTTTGCGTAATTCTTGAATATACTGGTGAGATCCCTGCAGCTCATTGATCTTGGAGTTCAATTGCTCTGAAAGAGAGGTAATTGCCTCTTTCAAATCCTTAATATTGGTGCTAAGGAAAGCTATCTTATTCTCATCACTTGAACTCTTGAATATGAAGTAAACCGATGGGATAAGTGTATACTTCTCCTTCTTCATCACAGTAAATTTAGCTGATTTGTTTAGTTGATCGAACTCAAGGGTTCAATACCTGTAATAATCTGGAAGATTGTGCTCTTCACGCTTGTCAATGCATTGATCCAAGAAAGTCGAGAAAAATGCCTCTGGGAATTTATGAAATTCAATAGTCACACCTTGAACTCTTGATAATTCATGGCATTCTCCTTCTCCAAACTCATAAGTGTATAAGAATTGGGGGTCATCTTCCATAGTAAGTTCAAAGATCAGAGATTTCCTCGAAATACTCGAATCAGTTTTAGATTTAATTTTAAATATAACATGTGAATTCCACTCTCCTCTCTCTGTTCCTGACATCACCATAGGGACTACCTTCGAGCGGATATCTACCACTTTTGATGTATAATCTGTGCTCAAATTCACCGGCTTGGCACTAGTAGAAATCTGGTCTAACAAATTACTAGGAGGGGAATAATTCATGGACTTCTCCCTCTCCTCATGAGAACGAGCTGAGGGAGCCCTCAGCTCGTTCTCTGTCTTAGTAGAATACGCATAATTAGTCCCAGGATACACAGCCAAAGGTTTATCATTAACTTCAGTAAAATTATACTCTGATGGCATGGAAATTGATCTCTCAAAGTCATCTTCTTCCTTTGGAACAGTATTGTTGAAAACAGGCGCCTTAGGAATATTTTCCGCGGGAAATTTTCCATAGTATCTATCCATGGGCATCTGCATAGCTGGGTGTCCCCACCCACTGGTATAATTACTCGGCTGTATCTCCTTCGGAATCTGTCCATTATTTGTGGTTTTGCCTTCCTCAAACTATATTAGGTTAGGTTAGAAAATTGTGTGATAATGTGTATATTTAGAAGGATTGTGGCCAAATTTTTGGAAGAATTACATAATATTGGTGCAATCTATTTACAGTGCATATTTTGAGTTCCAAAGCTACGTTACCTTATAACCATAAGCAGGATTCGAAGGATTACTGTAATGGTAAGCCATTTCGTGAAGTCTTAAAGGGTTTAAAATTTTAAATTATATTGTAACAATAAGACCTTAAATAAAAGGGGTTTTGGGGTTTTGGGGTTTTGGGGTTTTGGGGTTTTGGGG